CCCCCCCCGGTTGACTTGTTTCGGCAACTGCAACGCAGATTTTTTCGTGGGCGATTTCTCGGGGGAGAAATCACTCGTCGTCTCGAACTTGTCTTTGATGGGGGCCCGGAATCCGTACCTGGGCATCGCGTATATTGCCCTCGGGTCTCTCTCCCTTGCGATCGGCCTTGCGTTCCTTATCAAGCACTTGTCGAATCCGAGGAAGCTGGGGGACACGCGGTTCTTGGTCTGGAAGGACACCACGCTTTGAGCATGCCAGTTTTCGAATGAATTGAAGGTGCAGGTGTACGATTTTTTTTTTTTTTTCGCTTCAAGGTTGGGTGGGGGGGGGGGGTTCAATGGACTGGCGTTTTCGCAGTTTTTTTTGTCGCCTTCGGCGTGAAGGCCGCTCGTTGTCTGACGTCCCCGATGTGGTGGGGTAGGGTGAGGGCACTTGTCGAGCACGTGTGCTTAGCTAGAGTGTGCGCGTATTCATGCAAGCAAGCAATGGGCGTTGCTGTGTGATCGCTCGGGGCCTGTTTGTGTCCAACTCTTCGTCGCGGCACAGAGTGGTGTTTGGGCCTGCTGTAGAGGAGTTTGTTTAGAAAACGATATCCACCAGTTGGCTTCGGTTTGTCCGTGTCGTAGTCTATCACGCAGTTCGGTTTGTAAGTTTATTGTGTAAGAAGTACTCGGAAAGAGTGTGTGTGTTTGTTACCTCTTGAAGTTCTCGAAATATATAGATTCGTCGGGAGCGCTTGTGAATGCTCCCTCCGGGTTTTGTAGACCCGGTTGCACAAGGGTAAGACTTTTCTTCGTGTTTGTTGATGGGTTGAGGGAAGACTCTCCCCCCTCGTCGGTGTTTGGTGGTTGCTCGCTCGATACCCGTTGTAAATTTTGCTTTAGTTTGTTGCCCCTGGTTTTGTACGCGTGGCTGTGGTCGGCCCGCTGTTCAGCTACGTGAAAAGGGCTGTGACATCCTCGGCGTGTCTCCAGCGCACTGCTTTCAATGCTTCTTCAGATGGTGCGCGCAGGCCGGCCGCCCACTTGTTTGTTCACCTCGCGTAGCTTGACAGGTATCGAGCGGGACAAGACTGTAGGATATGGTTTTAGGTTCTGCCCGAGGTCCGCGTTGCTTGTGTATCAGCACCCTCCGCACGCTAGCCGAGTTTGTGGATGTTTGGCTTACTTGCGCTCCGGGTCTGGTCCTGTCCTATGCCTTTTCCGAAAACGGGCGGTTTAATCGTTTCTAGTGTCTACAGCCTTGCCAAATAAATAGCATTCGAAAGATTAGTCTCTCTGACAATAAGCCAGTCGTTCTGAGGGCTTTGATGCTCGTCATCAGCCCGGACTTTTCACCAATGCCGCGCACAATACTCTTTTGAACACCCAGTTTGGTGTTCATTATGCCCGACATGAACGCAAACCGGTCTTATCGCCACGTCCAGATCTTTGAACACGCCTTCACCGCTCTCTCTCCCACGAGACAAGTTGCTCCTGGACTGTTGCATGGACGCCACGCCACAGACCACGCACACACTTGCCTCTAAACCCAGCTGCTCGCATCGGATACCTACTTTAATGTTTACACGTTCTCAAGATACCAAGTTGGCGGCGGAGTTGGCCTCACTCGACCGTCGCTTTTCCACCTCTGAATCACCGCAGCCGCCATCACCAGCAGGGCTATTTCGTTCCCTGCACCTTTCTTCCCCATCTATGGCAGTTGCCCCTTCCCGCCCAGCACCCTCCCACGAGAACGCCCCGTCTGCAAGCCGCTCCATGGCAGCCCCGTGGGGTCGAAGCACCGAAACGGCCGCGCAAATCTCCCTGAGCGTCGACCGCGCGGCGGAAGCCCCACCGCCGCCGCCGTTGCCGTCTCCGGCCAATACCAACACCAGGGCCCCGAGCCTCGTCGCGTAGGTTCGGACGGCCTCGTCCGTCGAGGGGTCAATCGCCGCGGCATTTGCCGCGAGGGCTACTCCCAGAGACGGCTGTGGGCGCTTGGGCCTGTCGTTGGCCCTGCCGCCTCCCGGCGACGAGGAGGTAGAGAGTGTTCGGACCGACGCTCGCCGGGCGCAGTCGCCGCACGTCCAGAGCAGAGAGCACAGTAGCTTTGAGGCGTGGGCGTGGACTCGCGGCCAGCAGGAGAGGCAAAGCGCGCGGACGGCCCGAAGGGACGCGGCCCGGGCGTCGAGCCTCGATGATACTGGGGGAGACTTTCGCGAAGGGGTAGGGATTGGGTGGTGGGAAGGGGGGTCGTGTGCTGTCAAGGGCGAGGGACGGTTTCAATCGTGTTATCTGGGTAAGAACATTTTCAGCAACGGAATGGTGGTTGGCGGACGCGGTCGAAGGTCAATAGAAGAAGGAGATCCAGTGTGAACCAGATCGACAAACGAAAACACGGCGGCAGCTCGGTCCCGGTGATACAGCGATAGGACTCGACTTACCTCTAGTTGAGCTATAGAAGGCGGCCGCGTCGGCGCGCACCTAGTGTGTTGTGTTGCAAACATCTAGTACCTACACAAGCCGAGCGCCGAGCCCTCGCGCCAGAAGTATAACACAAAAAAAAGGGGGGGGTGCGCGCACGTATCCATACATACATAATACATATATACACACATACACATACATACATACATACATACATACATACATACATACATACATACATACATACATACATACATACATAGGTTCATACCTGAAGGATCGGCAGGAGGCACAGAAGCGCCGGCCGAAGAAACTCGCACGGCGCGTACCCTTCCCCGGTGGCCGGCACCTCCAGCAGGGCAGCCGCGCCGCAAACCATGACGGCCTTCACTGTCCCGTCCGTCGCCCTCGCCGCCTGCGCTAGCGTCTCTCTCGCGATTCGAATCCCGGCACGCTCGCCGCCGCCGCCGCCGCCGCCGCCGTTCTTCGGGGAGCATCGCAGAAGCCTCACCGCCGCCGTCATGCACAACGCCGACGCGGAAGGGTCCCTCCCGCCGCACCTGATCCCCCTCTCGAGGACCTCCAGCAGGAGCCCGCGGTGCCACCCCAGCTCCGCCGGCGGGGCCTCGGCGAACAGCCGTAGCAGCAGCGAGAAGCCTACGGCTTGGTGGGCCGGATCGTAGTCGTCCGCGAGCGGCAGGGCCAGCGGCAGTGCGTGCCCGAGGGCCGCGCCGGAGAAGAGCGGGAAACGAAGCCTCCGGATCGCCGCGGACGCGGCGTGCTTGATGCCGACCCCGGCATCCTCCCGCCACCCCCCGCGAGCGCGAGTGGCAGCCCGCAGGGCCCGCATCAGTGTCTCGGCGGCGGCGGTGGGCCCGCTTCCGCCGGCGTCGTCGCCGCCCAGGTAGAGCGCGCTCCAGGCGACATCCACGAGTCGCTTCGCCAGCTCGACGGTGTTGGCGTGGCTCGCCCACGGCGCGGAGAGAGCGTGTCTCGGGAGCGCTCGCCCGTGCACGCACGACTCCCACGGTATGGGGGCAGTGAGCTCGGATGCTGCGGAGGGTGCTGTTGCTCCTGCGGGATCGAGCCCCGGGGTGTCCTCCGGCGGCCGCATGCAAGACAGCCAGGCCTCGGTGGGGTCGTCGGCCTCGGTGGCGGCTTGCTCGAAGGGCAAGGCCGCCACCAACAGTTTCACCAGCGTCACCGACGCGAGCGCTTCCTCCCCTCCGCTACCGCTACCGCCGGCAACGGCGGCGGCTGGCGCTCCGCCGCAGGAGGAGCGCCGGTATTGTTCGCACAAATTCGCGCCAGCCCGAAGCAGGAGGTGCGTGGAAGCCGCCATCCACCGCCGTCGCCTGCCGCCCCAAGAGCGCAGCGCGTTCTTCTCGCTAATTGTCATGTCGTCATTAATGTCGAGGTTTGGGGGCACGGCCTGCTCGTACGCCAAGGGCACCTCTTCCAGCGCTTCTGCGAGCCCTTCCGCCAGCCGAGCGAGGGAGGACGGCGGAGACCCACGGGCGGCGGGTGCGGTGGTGGATTCGCCGCCGACCGAGCTACCGCCCGCCCCTTCTCCAGCGATGGGGGTTTGCGCCGGTGGCGCCGCCGCAGGTGTGTCGTGGCCATCTTGCCGTTCCACGACGACGCCTTCCCGCGCCGGAAGTGACACCGCCGTTGGCCGTGACGGCGGCTCGGGGCCCACCATGAACGCAGAACACGCCTCCAATCGCACAAGCAGTCCGCAGTAAACCCGTTTCCACAAGCCCTCCCCCCCTTCACCCCCGGCTTCTCTGCCCCCGTCACCCCCAGCCGACAGGCACTCGGACCGAAACTCCTCTACCGCTGCCGTGGCCGCTTCCAACGCCTTGGCACGAAATCCCGCCGGGCCTTCCGTGCCCCCGAGCGAAAGCGCGCGGACGGTCTCGCCGGCTTCCAGCGAGAGGCCGCCTACTCCAGCGGCACTCCCAGCGCTTGCCGCCGCTCCGTGCTGGTCTCCGCCTTCCGCGGCCCACGGCACCGACAGATACGGGAACTCTGGCAGTGTTGCAACGAGCAACGCTTCTACCGACTCTAGAGCTTCCACCCGAGCGGCCGTAGCCTCCTGCTTGTTCCCCTCCTCTTCCTCCCGCGGGCCCGGCGGTGCCGACGGCGATGCGAGGGGGGGCAAGTGCGAGTGCGACTCTCGCTCCCCCGGCGGCGATCCCAACAAGGAAGCCCCGCCCCGCAGCGCTCGCAGGGCGGTACGCGTGGTCTCCTCCTCCGCGAGGTCGACGGCTCTCAGGTCGGCGACGCCGCCGGCCTCCGGCTCGACGGCCGAGTTCGACAGGGCCACCGCCCGCAGAGCCTCGCACGCCCCGCGCATCGCCGCCGCCGCCGCCGCCGCCGCCGCCGTCGCCGGGAAAGAAGAGGTGGCTCCAACAGGAGCAGCGGCGGCAGATGGCGACGACGAGAGCGACCCTGCGGCCGGGTTGAGACCGTTCTCCGGCATGCCGTCGCCGCTACCGTCTAGACAAGCGAGGCTCTGGGTGAGAGCCGCACGGGCGGCGTGTTGCACCTCTGGGTACCCGTCGGCGAGAAGGGCCGGGAGCCAACAGCCCTGGTCCAGATAATGGCACAGGGGTTTAGAGACATGGGATGGGGCGGGGGGCGGCGGTTAAAGGCGACGGCTGGATTTTGGCAAGGAAGAAAGGATTGCACAGATACGATGGAACAGTCGGACGTTCCATGCAACACTGAACCAATTCGCCCGTCGGAGCTATGACAGAGTAGCGGCGGCAAGTTTGAGCGAGGCCTTCACGAAACGCGGCGCCGCCGAGTCACGCGCGCATACCTCGCAGCCCACGCCAAGGTACTTGTAGCGCTCTCGGTGGCCGTTCAAGGCTTTGCCACTGACAATTGTACACCAAAAACCTCGTCAGGACATTCAAGCAACCCCCGCCGAAAAAAACGAGAATGTCGGCGGGCCGGCAGGATGAAATAATTTTCTTCGAACTTGTTCGGGCAACACGAACATCCGCCCCCGACAACGAAAGAAGCAAAGGGTCCCCGGGCTCTCTCTCTCCCTCTCTCTCTCTCTCTCTCTCTCTCTCTCTCTCTCTCTCACCTGCTCGGATGACAGCAGGTGAATTAACTTTTCCTGCGCCCCAGTTCTCCTCAAGACTTCTCCTGCCGTCCGCGCCGCGGCAACCCTGACCTCCCACCGCTCGTCCTTCGCTCCCACGGCCGCAACGGCTAAGGCTTCACGCCTGAAATATTTCATATCCTCCTCGCTCAGTGCGAGGTGCAGGACCAAGCCGAGGCTGAGACAGTCTAGCGCCAGGGCGCGGGAGCGCGCTTTGGGTGGGGTTGTTCCCGCCCTTACCCCGCCGGCGCCGCTGGGCGTCAGCACCAAGCGAGCTATGTTTAAGAGCGCCGGTAGCTGGTACGGGGTAGCGCTCCCCTTCCCTGCTGCGTCGCCGGTGTCGACGTCCTCACCATCTTGTGTTGGTCCCTTTGATGTTATTGGGTTTGTCGAGGTCTTGATTTTATCCAGGAGGTCCGACAGCGCTTTCGGCACTGCTGTGTGAAGTGTGTAGTATTGTTTGAGATGAGTAGCGCCGTCGGCCGTCGAACGCCGCAGCAGGATCCCGACCCCAACCCGAGACCACAGCGAAGACATGGTGCACGGGGGCAGAGGCGCAACTGATCATGTCAGAGGGGGAATAACACTTGACAATACACGTAAGTTGATGAGTTGATCGCGAACCTTTCTTGCAGCACAAGGCACGCTTCCTGCGTCTCTGTCTCTTGTGTCTGTAGTCTACTTGCCTTTGTTTCTGTCCCTGTCTATATATCTCTCCTTCATCCACTGCGACTGCTGCAGGCAAGCAATTATTGGGAGTTGCATACCGCGAACTTCCTGTGTGTGTTGTCTCCTGCATAGACTACTGCTGTAGTCTAGTACTCTGCCACACGCGCGGCGACAGACTGCGATCTCGGATTACCACCCCCATGCGCCCCCCCGGTGTTTGCCATCGGGGTTGGGTTTTCGTCGCTTGGCAACGACGTTGTAATACAAGCCGCCCGTCCCCCCCGGTGTTTGCCATCGGGGTTGGGTATTCGTCGCTCGGCAGCGACGTCGTAAAACAAGCCGCCCCTCCCCGGTGTTTGCCATCTGGGTTGGGTTTTCGTCGCTTGGCAACGACGTTGTAAAACAAGCCAATTCGCTTCGTGAACTCGGCAACCAGGTTACCGTTTTTTTTTTCCTCTGTTTCTTTTTTTGGCGGAAACCATAATGGTGGTCGAGTAGATCATGCTGTGCGGGGTGGAGAACCCTCACTCCGCGCAAGGTGGATGATCGCGCCACGTTGTGTTAAAATGGTCAAGCACCCTCGAGGCAGTTAC